CACAACAAGGGATGCAGTGAACTGAAGATTTAATAATGGACCTTAATGAACATCACCAATATTAATTCTTATTTTATCTGCCAGGGACAGGGTTGTGTTCACACACAGAGGGAGTAAGCAGATACTTGGGGTTCCTCACTGTATGGATGGCTGCTCTGTGTTGCAACCTGTCCCTTTGGTTGTGCTTTTCCTCTCCATCATCTCTGAGCACAACAACCAGCTGGAACAACAAATTATCATGCGCATATGTGGGGGAAAATTCTTTCCTTCCCTTGCCTGTGTGGAGATGCAGAGACGCTGGGTGCATGTTCTGAACAGAGCCCCAAGGCCTGTTCAAGGCAGAGCCAGCATCAGAAACTGGAAAACCACGGTGTCTTTTCAGAAGTTTAGCAGACAGACCCATCCTACTTCATCCATCGCTGTCAGAAATGATTTATTCAAAATGTTTACTGGAGCAAAAGTGAGGCTAAATATTTTTTACACATATACATATTATGCATGCAAATATACACATTTGCAATTGATATTATTTTTCCACTTCTATTTAACTTTTGCTGCCAAGAACATGCTTTAAGTGAGTGCTGCCTTTCTCCTTGGCTAATAAAAGCACCTGCAAATTAGTTTGCCCTTAATTTTCAAATCAGCAAGTACCAGTTTGCGAAATACGCTTCCAGCTCTTCCACTTTTTCTTTGGGAAGAAGCACAGCACAAAGCTTCCCCGAGATTTTCTGTGTTCTGCACAGCTCCAGCTGAGGAGCACGGGTTATTCACAACCACTTCCACCATCTACATTTCATTGCACAGCTTTCAAAAGCTGGTTCTGGAAAGCCTGGAAAATTCACATGCCATGCTCGATGAGAGTGGGGAAAATAATCCCTGCTTTTGCATCAGTGTGCACAACACCTCTGTACGCCCCGTTTCAAACACTGTCCCTGGTACCGCTGGGCTTCGGCCGCAGCACTGCCCTCATCCAAAACAATTGCAGCCTGCGCTTACCATGCACAGCACATAACTCCTTTGGAGGCTGCAGCTCTGGTTTCTCCGTCCGGAGCACAGATTTGCCAGCCTGCAGAACTCATCCAGGCTGTAGAACGCAGGCTTTTGCCCTCCACACGTGCTCCCCTTTTCTCTCACTCACTGAGGGCTGGCCAGGGAAGGATGACGCAGAACATTGTTTTAGGCAAGGGGGTCTTCTTTCCTGTCTGCCAAGAGAGGCATAGGCAAACTTTCTGCTTTGTGCCAGTTCCAAAGGAAAAATATCCTTTGTGCTTCTCAGGAAAAGCACAACAGCCTCAGAGCCTTTCTTCTTTTCACTTACCTTTGAACGGCACTGTTAGCCTCCTTCCGCGCAGCAGGAGCTTTCTCTCAGCAGGCCGAGATCTGCCTTCTGGTAGCACACAGCCAGCATCAGCCCCCTCCACCAGCCCCACTGCTGCAGGAGGAGGTCCTGTCTCCGGGTACCAGCCTGGGGCAGGTGAAGGAGGAGGTGCAGAAACCACATGGCTGCTCTTCAGGGAACTAACTACCCACACACTGTATTGCTTAGGGGATCGTACACTGGATGCTGAGATCACCCAGGGTAACCTACAGATTGGTTCTGCGTACAAAGATATAACTGATTTCTAGATGTGAGGTTTCCATCTGGAGAGGGTTCCATGGGGCTTCCAGAGTATGCCACACTTCCACTATGGGCAACGAACCACAGCCCATACACCAGCCAGATTCAGCTAGCAATAATGCTACTTAGCCTTGGCGTTACCTGAGAGGAGTTTTTATCACAAGCAAGACAAATTGTGTTCCCATTGTTCAGAATGAAACCCGGAGACACGTCTTCAGAGAGCTGTGCTGAGACTCAGCTCACAACTACTAACTTAGAACACACACAGAATTGTGTAATGCCAGAGAAGGCATTAGCTCAGGTATGAGAGGCTCTGGAGATGCGGAGGTCATTACCAGGATTTCTCCATCACCTTGCCTACCCGGAGATCGCACCACGCTAACATGATTATACCATTTCTCTTACAGGGAGGACTTGGCTACACAATCTTTACAGCCTACCACTTGCCCTCCACCTTGTGTACAAACGCCACGTGCCCGGGGCTACCTGCAGTAGCGCTGCACCAAAGCAAAAGAAGACACAGCTCGGTTTGGAAAGGTCAGGAGATCTGCCTTGGCTGCGTGGCAGAACAGTGCTGCAAGGTGTGTGGGAAAGCAGACTTCCTCCTTCAAGGCCTCCTGCAATTAAATCCTTTTGTAAAATACACAGTTTCTTCTAGTAAGGGCAGGCTCAAGGGTTCTGAATTTAAATTAACTTCATGAGCAATAATAAATTCAAACTATCTTACTTTTTCCCTCCATGCCATCATTGCAATTATAAGGAGCTTTATCACAACCACCAAGTACAGAGCATGGGGTCCTTAAAACAGGATGTAAAAATTAGATGTACTTCTAATTTCCAGTAAGGGTAGGTGCGCTTTTATACTTCAGCAAATAAGAATACATTCATAAATTTAGCCCAGACAGAAGATCTCTTTATTTTCATATTCAAAATAGCACTTTTTCTCTGTGGATTTTCCACCCAATTAAAGACCAGATATTTATTAATGCATAAGCACTATCATTTTCCAGTCGTTAAGAAGGCACACCAAATACTATAATGCATCTTGCCTTTTTATTGTGTTTGGTTATAGACAAAGAGCAATACACACAGAATAATCACTGCCATCACCACCATAAAGTTGCAGTGTCACTCTGATCCCTTCAGGAGTCAGAGAACATCCACTTGTCATTCATTCCACCTTTCTGTCATAACTGCGAGCAACCATCTTTCTAAATAAAAACACAGCCAAAAGAACAGTGCTTGCTGACGGGACTTTGAAAAATTCTTTAAGGTACCAGCAGAATAAGCATGCACGATAGCAGTACAAAACCACAGCCATGCTGCCCCCTGAAGAGGTGAGCTGTGCCGGAAAATTCACGGGTGTGGTGCTGGAACTCCATCTCTGGCAAAAAGCCACCTCAAAACCTGCGTATTACTTTGCCTCAAATCTAAGTGGGAGTGAAGTAACCTCGGGTTGGTGTTTTGCAAAGGATATTGTTTTATCTGTAAAATAAAACACGGTCTGCGACAAGAGCATCTATAGCTTCCCCTCAGTCAGCCAGCGGTGCTACAGCGGAGCGTAATGCTACCAGAAGCAATGTGGTGCTGTGTCATGCTGCTTCTCTGATACACAAACTGGGTCCTGATGACCCATAAAGGGTTTTTCTAGAATGCTACAAAGGACAAAGCGAATTTTCTACTTGAAATGCAGGTGCAAGGAAGCTTTTCCTTGCTGAGAACCACATGCCTTTCAAACAGCTTTGGCAGAGTATATGGTAATACATTCCTTTCTGTTACCGAGTATTACTGCGTACAAAATAGTAAGTTGGCAGTGGGTCACAGTTCCCTATTTCTCTGTGCCTACTGTGGTAGATAAAATGGGAAAGAAGCAGGTTGGAAACATACAGAGAGCTAGCATCGTAACTCAGTGAGCAGTCTGACAGCAAAGTATCAGCCACTTAGGGGAAGACGGACGTATTCATAAGAATGGGTAAAATGACTTTGAAAGGACTGTGGTTGACACTGCTCCCATATTCTTGTTTATGTAAAAGTTTCCAGCCTGTACATAGATGTTCTAGCTGATACACAAATTTTATGCCCCATCCCTGGAAGTGTTCAAGGCCAGGCTGGATGAGGCTTTGAGCAACCTGGTCTAGTGGAAGGTGTCCCTGCCCATGACAGAGGGGTTGGAACTGGATGGTCTTTAAGGTCCCTTCCAACCCAAATCATTCTGTGATTCTGTATTAATTATACTTTGGAGATGATATTTTAAGCCCTATGAAAAATCTGTTATTATCTAGAAGAACTCTCCACTGGGGCCATTTTCTGCTGTCCTCCCCCCTGAAACAAAGGCAAAAAGGAAAGCAAGAAGAAAGGATTTGCTATTCTTTTCCAAAGAGTAACAAGGCGCAATGTTGTCTACTACTACTACTGCACAGCCCAAATCACCGGGTTCTCTCCTGTCTCACACTGACTGCAGCAGGAAAAAAACTGTAACACACCACTGTGGAGCGTAAAGGCCATGCAAGAGCTACGGCCCATTTTGGTGTAGCTGAAACATTTCTCAAAACACGGTTTGCAGGAGAGTCCTGGGTACGCAGGCATTTTGTGGGCTTTCTGCCAAAGCTCCCTGTAGAGGCCAGTTTGAGTGGTTCAATCCAGTGTCTGATTTGCTTAATGAAAGACACTTCTCCAGAAGATTTTGGCAGACGCAATCAGTTCAATTGCCAGGCAGCATTCATGTGATTACAAATGTTACTGATCACATTAGATACTTAATAAATCTCTCCAAAAAGATCCGGGCTACTGTGTGGCTCTGAAGAAATTAAAATTGTGACACAGATTACTGTGTTTGCTGTGTGCTGGACTACTGATACAGTTGGGAACAAATACCTTCCTTGGACTGCCAAGCAGTCAGTGACAACTATTAATTTCTATATAAAGCCATGACTGCTTGTTTGTAAATGTTTAGCCACGCATCGTTGCAAAGTAGCTTCCTTTTCATGTTAGGGACTCGTTGTACCACAAATACATACAAGGGTTCGACTTCACTGATTTTCACACAACTATGGCAATTCACATGTGCTGAGGGGCTGGCCTGCGAGTCCAAGGGCAACTTTTGGCTGGAAATACCAGAAAAGAGAGATCCTGTCTTTACATAAAACCCATGAGGGAGACTTGGGCACCGTTTCTTCTGCTGACGTTTCAGCAGATGGGATATCGCATACAGTAATGACAAAACACAGCAAAGCCAAAATGATCTAACCAAGCTGTACCTGTTTGGATAAAAATGGTTTTCCTTGCGGTGTGGCACAACGTGGCGTTCTGCACCTTCCTGTGATTTACTGAACAGCATTTTCAAAACAAATAAATGTCCATTGGCCAAATCGCAGTGCTCGTTTCAGTGTATTGCATGAAAGCAGTCACACAGGCCTCTCCTTTCTGCTCTCAGGAGGAGGGTTTCTGTCTGCAAAAAAACATGAAATCAAAGAACTGAATATATCACTTTAGAAGAGTATATAACTGATTAGACCTAATCCCTCCACACAGCTGTAGTCAAGGTGCTTTGCTGAGTGAAAAATCATAGTTATTAGCGCTGGTTTTCATCCAGAAGAAGTGATGACATAAGTAGATTCAGAACTGAGATGCATGGAGAGTATTTTTATAGTTTAAATGTTTTCATTTTCACTGTTAACTTCTAGGGAGTAGGCTGTCAAAATTATTAAAGTGTCCTTTATAAATGCCAAGAAAAATTCCACTTTCAACTGCACTGCTCTTAATTGATGATTGATGGCTTCCTGTTGATGATGTCTTCAGTACTGTATCATTTAATTGCTCCAGATAGCATGTGCTGAGGAGCCAGTTGTGCCCTCAGTTACACTGCTGATTCTCTAGAGTAACTCTGAGTTCGACCCAGCTGTCAGTCTAACCTTGTCGGCTGGTACTCACAGTCTTTCAGGGCAGATCTAGACGTGAGTTTGTGGCTCCTATTTTAACCCGAGTTAATTTACTGACAGTTGCCTTATCGTCAACTCCAATTGGAGCCATGCCCACAGAACCCCACCAAAAGCTTAAAAACCATTCTCTATATACATCATTTAAAATTACTTCCTCTTGGTTTTGAAGCATCTTAGTGGAAAGCATTTCCAAGTGGTTTTTTTCTGTACCCAGGAAAAAAACCCCAAACTTCAGATCCTCAAAGATATTTAAGTATCATTTATTTAATTGTGATAAAATAGCTTAAATCTTTTGTGGGTCCTAGTATCACTCTGAGAAATAAAGGCTGAATTTCTCAAATGGCACCACCATTTCAAAAGCTGAGTCTCTTGCAAGACTCAAAATAAAATTGTCAGTGCAAGCAACTCACACCAGCAGGTGCAATTGTGACTGGAGAGAAACTTCTTCCTGAGCTTATCTTGTGGTTTTCACCCTGTGGTCTGTGGTCCCTTAAGTAGTTTGTAGAGTGACTCTGAAGAGTTTCTTGAGAGGAAAAAAAAGTTACCATGCTTAAATTCACCATGAATGGGTTTCCCATCTGCACTGGAGAAAACCATTAGAGGTTGAAAACCACTTGTTAAGAAATTACCTAAAAGCTGCATGAAACAACAAGGTCTTCAGCCTGCTGGTGTCCTCTGACATGATGCCTCCTGACAAATTAGAAACATCAAAGGGCTAATTAACAAAGACAGTTTCCAAAGGAGTAGCTGGGCACTTCTGCTGGCGACCTGCTCCACCAAGCTCTGCCTTGCTTGGTCAGCAGTACCGCTGCCCCCCAGCAGTTCCCACTCTCTACTACTCATTCCTTGTTCTCAGCTTTTGCAGGGAGAGGCTGTTGCAGAACTGCTTTTCCCTCCCCTCCACAGCCCTCTGTCCTTTTCAATTCAAACTTTTGACAGCCACCTTTGCATTAAAGAGGACTTGTTCACTTTCCTTGTCTGCTTTCACTTATCGGCTTAGTGCAAAGGCAGGGTTTATTAAACACTCTTCCTCGCCTGCACAATGCAATCCTGGATGAGTGAATGCTCTCATTGTTGGGAGCCCAGTAGAAATCATAGAACCATCTTAACATTAAACAGGCTTATTGGATTTCACCGTGATGCCAACAAGCTGTCACTGTTACACAAACCCTGCCGAGGCGTCACTCATGACTATTTACAGGCAGGAAGAGCAGCCCTGGGAGCGCTCAGCTGTAAACTGAAAGACTCTGAAAGAGAAGCATCAGTTACAAAAATTAATTGTGGCCCTGCTGGCATTGCCTTAGGAAGTCCTGCATGGGATTTGCCTTGTAACAACAACTTTCAAGACTCAGGCACTGTTGAATGAAGCTATTTGTGTGTAAAACTTGAAAAATTATAGTTGCTCAGCAAAAACCAAGCACCAGTGATTAGGTAAGGATATGGAGGCTGTATACCTTTCAGAGAATAGAAGACCACAGTGTGCCATTTGCAGGGCCCTGGCCACTGCCTTTCCCTTTAGTATTTCTGCATCATTCAATAATTCGTATTTAACTAAAGCCTCTCTTCCAGAAAGGCCTTTGGAGTGTCAATCCAAAGGCTGAAAAAGATGGACAGTAATAAACCCTTTCTTTACTGTATTAGATTCACAGTTGGCAAAGTGTGGGTGATGTTCCAGATAACTGGTTACGTTTGTTCTGGTGATGATCCTGTGTCTCTTGTTTCTGTAGTACTGAGAGCTGTCTGAATCAGTTCCTTGGCATCTCAGGCCTGTCCAAGTCCTCACAGAAACAAAGCTTACCTTACAGCACTCTGGAACCAGCTCCTCCCTTTATACTCTGCCTCACCTCTTACAAGACAGCTCTCTGATGCATTGTATTCTCACACCACCAGATAGAGCAGCCAGCACAGATACGTCTAAGCAACTCTCTAAGTGGGATTCAGGAATTTTGCTGCCTCTATTGCATTCCAAAAAAAATCTCCCCAGTGCATCTCAGAGAGGAATGCAGTACCTCCTTTAACTTCCCATGCAAAGCCTCGTGAGAGAATGAGAACCAACACCGCTGCGACTGCACATGGTCTTGCCGTGTCACGTGTAGGTACAAAACATTTCAGCTGAACCTCATCCAAGGAGGGGAAACCCTGCTATGCACCAGAGCAGCCCAGCACAGCTGCTGGAGGTAAAGTCTCTCTACTCACAGTCTACCACTTCACAGGTATTTAGTATGACGGTAGTGCATGGGAGGCTTCTGCACCGTAACCCACACGGCACTCGGAGTGCTGCCCTCAGCAGTTTGCTACTGACAGCTCAAGGGAACTGAAGTCACTCCAACCTTACGGCGTGGGGCACTGCCTGATTGCCCAAGGTCACAAGAGACCGAAGGCAAAGCAACATAACCGCCCTTCTGGGGTAGAGTTTGAGACACATAATTGATTTACATCTCTCTGGATGACTCTGCTGTGAATGACTATGTGAGCGGAGCGTGACTTTAGAGGAACAAGGAGCCCTTCTCACCTACCAACAGAGGTCACACTGGTCAAAGGCACTGAGCGAGCACCTAAAGCAGCTGCAATGGGTTTCACTCACCACAAGTTGCTTTACTGTCATGTTGCCAGTGTTAATGGAGCTGTTGGGGAAGGAAAGGTAGGACAAGACATACATGGGGGGGCTTTATTAGAGGTGCGAGACCTTCTGCCTCTTGCAAACTTCAGACAACACGGGGACCGCTGTGCTAAGTCCTACCCCAGCCAGTGCTTGTGAGTATTTATGAACCCATGTATGCATGCACTGCTAAAATTGGGACATTTAACACACCCTCATTTTTGGTTCACTGGCACCTCTGCAGCACAAGACCGGCATGTGCAGTTACAAAATGCCCCGTGTGCTGTGATAGCTACCTGTGCTACTGTGCTTCCCCCTTTTTTGCGGAGTATGAGCAAGGAATATATGTGCTTCCTGTTCATAGAATCATAGAATGGTTAGGGTTGGAAGGGACCTTGAAGACCATCCAGTTCCAACCCCCCTGCCATGGGCAGGGACACCTTCCACTAGACCAGGTTGCTCCAAGCCTCATCCAGCCTGGCCTTGAAGACATCCAGGGATGGGGCATCCACAGCTTCTCTGGGCAACCTGTGCCAGTGCCTCACCACCCTCTCCGTGAAGAACTTCCTCTCTGCCAGCTCTGCCTGCCACCGTGAATGCTCTCTCATTCACCTCCTGCTCCTGCCCAGTGAACGGTCAGTCCACAGCTTGGATGCAGTGTTAGGAGATAGAGTTAAGCATCTTTCTTGTTCTTCTCTCCTTCATACTTCTTTCTCTATTTGATGCAGGGACTGTCTGGGGTAATTCCTTAGCCTGTTATGCAAAAGTCTGACTGATGATCCTTAATGAACCTCTCCAGCCTGTGAAAACTAATCTGTACTGGGTACAATCCTATTTGCTGAATGGAAGTGAGTCAGCAGAGATGTCACGCCTGCTGTGCACAGACAGGCAGACCTGGCCACTTGGAGATAAAGGCTAAGTAAAAGCATCTCTATAGAAACACTTACCCGTGTGTCTAGATTATACGCTGTCTTCTTTAAATCCTGCAGAGCCCTCTGCATGAACTCAAACGCATGGCAGTCAACACAGGGACGGCCTGGAAAAAAGTACAGAAGACATTACTGTCACAGCATGAACACCAGCGCGTGGCAGTGCAGAGGGAACAATCAGGGCCTTTGCTATGCCAGGAGAAAACCCACGTTAGAAAGCAACCAGCACCTGCATGCGTACGAAGCTAGGGCAGCCTGTGGGCAGGGCTTTATCTATCCTCGTGCAAACCTGTAAGGACCAGCAAAAACACAAGAGCAGTGTGCTGTGCATGCTTTTCCAAACACAGACCAGGCGTGATTCTGCCCCGTGCTGTGTGCCTTCAGCCCCCAGCCTCTCCCCTGAAAATGGAAAACCTCAAAACCTCTCAGACGTGGGTTATTTCTCAACTGACACACTGAAAATAGAGTTTACAGTGGTTCAGAAATCAGACAGGCAGGTCTGTTTTTACAGGAGCTCTTACAGAGCAGCTTGGCAAGGGACAGTGCCAGATCTGTATTTGCTTCCTCTCACCTGCTGCTGTATTTTTTCTCTGCCAGGAATGCAAAGCATCCCACTGGCTCTGCAGCTGGTGCCAGTGTGTGTGCACAGAGGAGCACGGCAGGGAAAAGGCAGAGAAGAGGAGGAGGGAGGGACCTGAGAACAACTAAAGTGGCTCACTTCTAGACCCAGGCATTTCTGTTCAGCCAGGATTCACCCTGCGCTAATCTCAGGCCCTTTAATTCGTTTCCACTTCAGATCATGGAGCAGGACCCATAGAAAAAAACCTGCATCCTCAGCCTGCTGTCAGCAAATCATCATTCTGTGTGCCATGGCCTGCTCCCTCCCCTTGCTGTGGTCTTCTCAGAGAGCACCTTTCCCTGACTCCACCTCGGTGAACTGCTGCGTCCCCTGAAGTGCTTGTCACTAAAGTGTTCCCAAAATCAGAACCTGGAGAAAAAACAGATGATGGGTCATAAATTAATATATCCTGTTCTGGCAGTGTGGAGAAAGCATTTTTTAGGAGAGCCATGAATTCCATAGTCAATCGCTGCCTGCTACCCAGGAAGTCTTCCCAGGCCCTCATGAAGGCCATGGCTGTGTGGGATCATTCACTGTCAGCCACGTGCTCCTGCATGAACACCTAGGTACCATGCCACGCAGTTGTTCCTGCCACCCCTGTGAAAGAAGCTGCCCTGACATCAAAGCAGCTTCTACAGGAAAACGGTGTCACGCAGAGGACACCTGCCCGCAAAGGATCGTCACACGCGAAGCTTCTAACACAGCACTGATCTTCAAAGCCACAGTGTAGATGCAGCCAGTGCCGCCACGTAACGGAATACAGACTCTCTAATGTGGCTTCCTGGGATGTCCTTAGCGGAGGGTCCTTCCCCAGCACAGCCATCTCTGGGTCAGGTTAGCAGCCCTGCCTGCTGGGAGTTCTGGCAGCCCTGCGGCGCTTGGCAGCGGGAGAGCTTGTGTGATTCCTCCAACCAGCCATATCTCAGGATGGGATGCATCATTCTGACTTCCAGCGGCGCAGAGAGGACGCGCTGCAGCAGCACAATTGGCATCTGAGAGGACAGCTGTACCTGGGAGGAGGTGATGAGCAGCCCGGGAGGTGGCTGGCTATGAACCCTTCCACCCACGCAGCCCTGCAAGGCACACATCTGTTCACCACTTCGGGGACGGAACTAGAGCACTGCTGATCTCTCCATCAAGCATCTTGCACTAGCACAGAGCAACGTGAATGCAGTTACCCCAACAAAATAGGGGCGATACCCCACTATCTGGAAAGCCTGTAGATACAGTCAGATTTTTACCAGGAGAGCTGCCCAAGTCCTGACTCTGGACAGGCTTTTACTTCATTATACTAGCCAGACTCACGCAGTAGCCGATAGCAGACACTTAGAGATATAATAAACCTCTAGCAATGTTCTTCTAGGGTACCAAGAGGTTGGAGGATATCCTGTGTCTGGCTGGTGTTTCTACTTCTGATAAGACCTCCATGAATTTTTCTCACATTAATCTGCCCTGTTACTTCCTAAATCCATGTGAACTTTTGACATCTACAGCAGCCTGTAGCAACGAGTTCCACAGCTCAGCTATTCACAGTGTGAACAAAACACCATTCCTGTCTGCTCTGGTCAACATCTGCTGCTTTCATTTCCTGCCTCTAATTGTTGTACTGGAAGAGACCGTTATTAAAAATTCACCATCTTTGTCCCACTTACGACTTTGCTGCTCTCCATCATTCCCTGCCTCAGTGCCTCTTTTCCAGACTGATGAGCTGGGCTGGTGAGTTGGCCTATCTAGTGGGACTTCACCTCTCTTCATGCTCACAGTAAGATGCCTGTGGACATTTCCCCAAAGTAATGATGTCTAAGGGTCTGTTTTCACAAAGATTTTAAACAAACCTAAACACGTGCTGTTGCCAACCCTACCCTGCTTTCTGTCCTTGGCTACACGTTCCCACACTTCCCTTGCTCAAAGCTGGAGTGACCACGTACTTGCTTGGTCAGCTGGATTGTTGAATTTTTCTCTCCAAATCAGATCCTGAATGCTCAAGTTCTGAGGCCAGAACAAGAAATAGGGCAAGGACAGGAGGCCAGGTTATGGGGAGGAGAAGGGCAGAGGCAGTATAGGCTTACACCAGCTTAAAGCAATCGTGAAACTGAACCTTAAGTCACATCATAGCAAAGCACAGCAGAGTGCTATTAATTCCTTGCTGACAGCTGGAACAGACTATCATTCATAGGAAGATTTAACAGGTTTGTGGATTAACATAATGAGAATTATCAAGAGTCAGCTATAATTCTTTAAATGGGTCCTGTCAGCATGAAGACTGTATGTGTCTTTGTGTGTTTGGGGAGAAGTGGGGGAGGAGAGCTTAAAATATGTTTCTTGGCTTCTTCTTGGTGAAAAACTGGAACTGAAAGCACTGTGGAAGTCGAATTTACTTTCCCTTGCAGGCACATGGCATTCACTCTTTGTATGTCATGTACCTTTGGCTAATGAAAATAGACTGACCGGCTTCTGTTCCTCAAATCCCACATTTCAGCTTTCACAGTGGGTGATCTGGGATATAAATGCAATAGGAGGTTAGGGAAATGACTTAATTGTTTTTAGTGGATTGCACTGAACTTTAAAGAAAATAATCCACAGACGTTAGTAACGCCACTTCACGCTTGAGCAGCATATGTGAAGTGCTGTGTATAAAGTATAAGGACATGATTAATCACTGCTAATTAGCATTATTCATAAAAAGCTGGGACTGGCTCTTTGGCTGGCCAAAAGTATGCCAAGTGGAGAGCAGGTGATGGTACCCCAAGCCAGCTGTCAGTGCCACACGTAGGGCAGGATCTCTCTGCAATGCTAAGAACCGTGACTCACTCTCCTGCTTCTCTCCTGAGTCCTGCACCTCACACACTTGCACAAGAGCATTGCTGCCCCTCTCCTGCTCGCGGTGCTGCAGGAGGGACACATTTCTCCCATCCAGTGGGAGAGAGAGGCTGTAGTGCTGTGCGGTCCATGAGGGATTGTTCCTGCTCAAGGCATGTTCCCAGTCCCCTGTCACACATCTGGGAACAGGGAAAAGCATTGAGCAGCACCACACTGGTCTGCCCTGCAGAAGGACACAGTACGGCCCATGTACATCATATATCCCTGTCAAGAACATGTACTGGAGATCCCTTTTTCTCCTTGGGGCATCCAGGCTCACACAGCCACCATTTTGCCTGGGCTGAAAGTATGGACTTAAGCAGCAGCAACAAGAAGCTGTGTGCATGTGCTGCAGGAGCACTGCCCCTCAAAATGGGTCAGTGCCCAGGAGGATCTGCTCCTTGATGGGAGAAATAGCCAGTGGAGCTGACATCAAGCAGGAAAAGCTCCAGTAATGTCTGTACTAGAACACATCAAAGGTCTGCCTGGCCCAGTGTTCAGTGTCCCACGAGCTACATCTCTTGTAGTACATTAAATGTGTCTAGGAGCATTCCCAAGCTTTGAGAACAGCTAGCATAGAATCATAGAATCTTTCAGGTTGGCAAGGACCTTTAAGATCAAGTCCAACCACTAACCTAACACACCTAAATCCAGCACTAAACCATGTCTCTGAGCACCTCCTAATCTTTTACATCCCTCCAGGGATGGTGACTCAACCACTTCCCTGGGCAGCCTGTTCCAGTGCCTCACAACCCTCTGCAGGAAGAATTTTTTCTTGATATCTAATCTAAATCTACTCTTTTTCAATTTAAACCCATTACCCCTTGTCCTGTAACTACAGGCTTTTGTAAAAAGTGCCCCCTCCCAGCGGCACGCTCCTTTCAGGTAGCTGTAGAGAGCGATAAGGTCTCCCCTGAGCCTCCTCTTCTCCAGGCTGAACACGCCCAGCTCCCTCAGCTGCTCCTCACAGGACTTGTGCTCCAGACCCTTCCCCAGCTCCGTTGCCCTTCTCTGGACACACTCCAGCACTTCCATGTCTGTCTTGCAGTGAGGGGCTCCAAACTGAACCCAGGATTCGAGGTGCAGCCTGGTATAGAGGGACAGACCCTGGTCCTGCTGACCACACTGTG